TTTGACTAAAATATAAAAAAAATTAAACTGCTTACATTGTAATAAAAATAAGAAAGTTCATGATCTTTGTGATAATGTCAGACTTGAAAAGTGACTAAGTGGTGTATCTCATGATCCTACCTTTCTTAGCTCCATGACCACAGTAAGGAAACACCACCTACTTTCAATTCGATCTATGTTCACACATGGTCAGAAATATGAGCCCCTATCTACCCATTAAACATTTTCTATATCACCCACTCAATTACTGCCAAAACACCAATCACATTTCCTCATCTACTTACACACCATGCTGTGACTCACAAATAAACAGTTACCTATACACAAAGTCCTTCTCATTTGGATCCAGACTCCTATCTCTTTGCTGTCCTGCTAGCTTTGCATTTTTTAACAAAAAAAATATAGATTAGAAATCATGTTGCAAACTACAAATGTCAAGTCAATGGCAAAAGCCATAACAGAACAAACTGTCATAACCATGGCAGACATTTAAACCTGCCTAACTAGCAGTGAACTCCTGCAGAGGCCAACCTAGTCATGATCTCTCAGCATACACAAACAATAATAACTCAAAATGAAGAAAAGATTCTCTCATCAAAACTCTGAAAGCATTCATTCACTTTCCCACATGCTCCCAAAGATAAATCTAGAAAAATGCTGCATGTCTAGCACAGGCATTTTGAGAACATCTCTAATACGGTATCTGCTGCCTGTTTTCCAGGGGCTGCTAGTATCCTGGAGTGTGGCTTGGATTATTTTAGTGTATTTTTCTTGTCTCCCTTTCTTCCTGTCCTATATTGCTTTGTAATTCTGGGCACTTTTGGTTGGGGACAATCATTTCCTTTGCTATGGCTTTTTTTCTTCATTACTATGTTTTTCTTACAATGGTTTGAATACGTGAAATAAGAGCGGGTCTGGTACAGGTTTTGCTCTGGACTATATGTCTTCCTAAAGTCGCTCAATAATAAAATGTGGAAAAATGACTAAAATGTAGTCATTTAGAGTTATTGTTAAAGAAGTTTAGCTTGATAGAGCCCCTTTCATTTGTACTAACAGATTGCCTGGTTGGAAAAATGACGTAAGAAGCAGGACTTGTCTTCCTTCTCCTATTTGGTAATACTTTTTTTTGTCTTGAATATTGTTATTTGGACTGAGGACTCGGTTTGCTATTTTTTGTTCTTTTTTTGATATTACTTCAGGACAGGATATTTCCCCAAATCTAGGTGCTTTGCATTATTTTTTCAACTTTTCAACTAAATGTTTTGCCTATTTTTTCCAGTTTTCTTAATTCTTTAAGATTGTGCTATTTCTGATATGCTTGCTTTTATTTATTATTATTATTATTATTTATTTATTTATTTGATTTGTATACCACCCTACTCCCGAAGGACTCAGGGCGGTGAATAGCCAAACAATAAAATACATAGATACAAAAAATTTAAAAAACCAGATAAAATCGAATTAAATAGTTTTGGCCCTGACAAATTAAAACACCCCAATAATTTAAAACAGATTAAAATTTACATATTAAAAAAGAGGGAAAGGATTAAGCCAAGCCCGCCTGGTGGAATGAAAAGGTCTTCACAGCGCGGCGGAAGGTGCGCAGGTCTGGGATCCTTCGTATCTCCGGCGGGAGCTCATTCCAGACAGTAGGTGCCCCCACAGAGAAGGCCTTCCCCCTAGGGGCCGCCAGTCGACATTGTTTGGCTGACGGCACCTGGAGGAGTCCCTCTCTATGAGAGCGTACCAGCCGGTGGGAGGCTGTTTGTGGTAGTAGGTGGTCCCGTAAATAACCAGGTCCTAAGCCATGGAGCGCTCTAAAGGTGGTGACCAAAACCTTGAAGCGCACCCGGAAGACCACCGGGAGCCAGTGCAGCTCGCGCAGGAGAGGTGTCACATGGGAGCGCCATGTTGCTCCCATAACCACCCGCGCAGTCGCACTCTGCGCCAGTTGGAGCCTCCTGGTGCTCCTCAAGGGGAGCCCCATATAGAAAGCGTTACAATAGTCCAGGCGGGAAGTGACGAGGGCATGAGTGACTGTGTGTAGGGAGTCCCGATCCAGAAAGGGGCGCAACTGGCGAATCAGGCGAACCTGATGAAAAATCCTCCCAGTCACGGCCGTCAAATGCTCTTCTAATGACAGCCGTGAATCCAGGAGGACGCCCAAGTTGCGAGCCCTCTCCGTGGGGGCCAGCGATTCGCCCCCAATAGTCAGCGATGGCGTCAACTGACTATATCGGGACGTCGGAAACCACAGCCACTCGGTCTTGGAAGGGTTGAGTCTGAGCCTGTTCCTCCCCATCCAGATCCGCACGGCCTCCAGACACCGGGACATCACTTCAAGGGCATCGTTGGGGTGGTCTGGGGTGGAGATGTACAGCTGGGTGTCATCAGCGTACTGGTGGTACTTCACCCCGAAACCACGGATGATCTCACCCAGCGGCTTTACATAAATGTTGAACAAAAGGGGCGAGAGGACCGACCCTTGTGGCACCCCACATATAAGGGGCCTTGGGGTCGACCTCTGCCCCCTTGCCAACACAGACTGCAACCGGTCGGAGAGAAAGGAGGAGAACCACCGCAGTACAGTGCCCCCCACCCCTAACTCTTCCAACCGGTGCAGCATGATACCATGGTCGATGGTATCAAAAGCTGCTGAGAGGTCTAACAGGACCAGGACAGAGGAGCAACCCCTGTCCCGAGCCCTCCAGAGATCATCTACCAACGCGACCAATGCCGTTTCCGTGCTGTACCCGGGCCTGAAGCCCGACTGGAACGGATCCAGATGTTCAGACTTCTGCTCATTTATCTTATTATGCTTTTAAGTATCACTCCTTTACATTTTGTTGCCCAGTAATGCGTATAAATGAAACTAAAATCTAACCATTAAGCCAAATTCTTTTGTAATTTTCTTTCTTTGATACTGTATGGAATCAAGATTAAAAACGTACTGGCTAGTTTTAGGTTTTACTAATGCAGGGTCTATAACAGGAAACTTATATTCATTTTAAAAATGTGTATGGCGCTCCTTGAAGAAAAAGATTTATGTAAAATTCTTAAAGCCTTACCTAATCTAATCCAATTCTATAATTCTTACTGATTGAAATCCCAGATACTGTAGATGCGTTCATCCTTACTAACCATAACTGTTCAATGTTCTGATATTCTGAACTGATTTATTAAATTTCATTCCTGTGTGCTTATAGAGAGAGGCTATACACCGCTTTTCAATTGGTTTGGCATTCTCTGTAGGCTTTGCTTGAAGAATCAGTTTTTCTAGTTTCCAGAAATAAAAGATCTGATAAAATATATAAGCTAAGAAAAGTATCATAAAACTATAAACAGTACCAGATGAAATCACTCAGCTCTAGGCCAAGATCACAATATGGATAGGGCGAGCTAGTCTGTGCTTGCATCTCAAGATAATTTTATTTGCTGCTTAGCCAGAGCCTGATGGCACCCAATTTGTGCCCACAAATCATACTGAGCTTAGATGCAAACTTGCTTTAAAAAATGTTGTGGTTTTAATCGTAGTACTGCTGAATTATCTCTAGCCTCAAATGCTACATCCCTTTGCCAATGATATGAAACAATGCTTAAACCCATCAAAGTGAGTGTTTCTTTCTCGTGACCACAGCTTCCCCATGACGTATCAGTTTCAGTGGAACAACTGAACTGTGGGAGGATTACAGTGTGTGACAGAGGTATGATTTTCATATGAACTTGAGTTGAAGTTATTCAATGGCTTTCTGATATAGTTAAATAAAGATAGAACCGATCAGATATTAAAGTACTGTATTAAACTTTGACCTTTAAACCATATACATGGACCCACACACATACATTTCTCTTTTCATCCTTGATTTTGCTGTTCAGGGGTGCACAGGTGGGTGGCAAGGCACTCCGTCAGCACAGAGGGGCTGGGGGAAGGTGCACAAGGATCTGTGGTGGTCAGTGAGGCATGACACCAGCACAGTGGGGGTGGCTGGCTGACAAGGCATGGGCTGAGTGCAGTGGGACTGAGAAAAAATGTAGGATGGTGTGAGTGGTTGTGAGGTAAAGGCCGAGTGCAGCAGGGCTGGGGGAGTGTGTGTGAGGTCTACAAGTGGCTGTTGAGGCATGGTGAGTCTGGCTATTGTCAGGTGGGGAGAACGCATACGGGTGCAAAAAGCCCCAGAGCTGCAATGCAGCAAGAAGCCCCAAAGCCATGGCTTTTCCCCATATGTAACCAGGATGGTAAGCTCAGCAGAGGGAAGGCAGGCAGGGACAATAAAGGTCATATTGGGGGAGGAGGGGTGTGCAGGGTTGGCAGTTGAAAATGCAGATTGGGTCAAATTTTTATTACATGACCGCAAAGATGCTGCAATTGTTGTAAGTTCAAGGACTGGTCACAAGTCCATTTTTTTTCCAGCACTATTGTAACTTTAAACACTGAACAAATGGATGTTAAGAAAGAACTACTCACACATTACTAGATTCTTAGAGAACTGACTTGCTGTAAAGATTTATATTTTCAGATGGTGAGTTGCATGGTTCACAAACACTTATTAGTATAGCAATAGGTAAAAATAAAATCTATTCCCCCTGGTTCATTAGTTGAGTTACATGTGGCCAATAATGTAATTCATTCTGACTTTAATTATAGTGTACATTTTTATGGATAGATTTAAATACTTTACTGAGTAAAATTGCTTTGTATCTGGTCTCCTCACTGTTCAGATGTTTCTTCTTTTATTCCCATGGTACTCTTTGGATGAATTTAGAATTCATAAAGACAAAAACTAACACAACAATTGCTAAAGGAAAGCCTCCAGTAACAAGCTGTGACAGTTAGTGATGTGGATTCACATGTACATCCCATTCCAGTAGCTGCTCTATTTTGCTGTTTTAACATGGTTTGATATACATTAAGGGAATCAATATTTTAAAAATGTTTGAAAAGCAAATGATTAGGGAGTCTCAACAGTCATTAATGTAATTAATAATCAGTGGTTACTTACCATTGAATGGATTGATCTTCTTAGCAATTCGTGAAATGATGGATTCCTTTAGTTCTCTCTTTTTCACACACTGAATGCCCAGGTTCTGAAAACTATAGCAAATATATTTAAGAATTAGATATTTAAAATAAATATAACAATGATACAACTATAGGGACTCTACCATATTGGTAGCAAAATGAATCATGGAATTTTAATTCTGACAAATACTTTACATTAAGAAGATTTGATGAGATCCTGCATAAGACTAAAATAGATGCTATCATAGTAATTTGCCTGTTATTACCCACTTTCAACCATTTAAATGCCACACAAAGAGAGACGCATAATTTCCCTTTTTTAAATAAGCAACAAAGAACAAGACCAGAAGCAGCCATAACAAGAGCTATACTAAATTACATCCAAGGCCCATCTAGTTAGGGATAGGAAAGTAACAATCTGCTTGTGATAAAAATCAGCAAAAGCCCTCAAAAAACATTTGAGATTAGAGTGTTTCACTCAATTATTTATTTATATAGCCATCCATCACAAGAAGTGATTCTGGGCAGTCTGTAATTAAGATATAAAACAATAAACATGTCAAACATAGTCATATTAAATACACACACAGAGAGACACACATTCATTTCAATCACCAAGAGAGCTACCTCAAAATCTCACCAGTCTCCTGAGACCCCCATATCTTGAGGAACATCTGGAATATAAAGAGGGAAGGAGCTGACTTCCGGGCAAAGAGGGGTTGGAATGGAGAGAATGTTCCATTTGGTAGATACCATGGAGACACACCTCCTTGGGCTTCCTTAACAGATGGCACTCAAAGCATGCCTTGGATCTGATGGGACACCATATTAATCAGGAAGAGATGGTCCCTCAGATAACCCAGCCTCAAGCCATGAAGGGTTTTAAAGAGTAAACTCAGCAACCACAAATTAGCCTGATTCTCTGGGAGCATCAGATGGGCTGCTAAGAGGAACAAGCTCAGGCGTGTTGCATAAAATCAAATACCCATGTCTTCTTATGTGAACATTGGATTCTAATCCCCATCAGGGCATTACAGTTCTTTAGAAAGAAAGACTTGAGGAATAAGATGAAACTGGCATTTAGCAGCATATCATCTACTTAATGAAAAGGCAAGCTTTTTTTTTTTTTTTTTTTAATTTGATTTATATGCCGCCCTTCTCCGGAGACTCAGGGCGTCTTACAATGCGTTAAGCAATAGCCTTCATACTTTTGTATATTTATACAAAGTCAGTTTATTGCCCCCACAAACTGGGTCCTCAATTTACCTACCTTAGAAAGGATGGAAGGCTGAGTCAACCTTGAGCCTGGTGAGATTCAAACTTACAGTAATTGCAGACAGCTGGTGTTAATCACAATGCTATCAGTCTGCTGAGCCACCAGGCCCTGTGGCCACCAGGCTTTGCTTCTCCTTCTTTCCCCTGTGTTTTGTTCAAAACCCAAATAATGACTTGTGGGTATTATAGGTAGTTCTTGTTTAGTGACCACAATTAGGACTGACAATTTGGTTGATAAGTGAAATTGTGACTGTGCTTATGATCTTATTTCATTTATTTATTTATTTATTTTTGCTTTACAGACCTGTGAAGGTCATAAAGTTTGGTTGTAAAGTTACATTGTCATTACCATTATAACTGCGAATTGTAATTAAAGTTACTAAACAATTAGTAAACAAGGACTACCTGTAATTTCTTTTGCCGCTTAGGATAGTAAAGGCTAAATTACCACTGCCATCATTTCAAGTTATTTGTATTTTCTGTCAAGGGACAATGAAAATTGTAAAGTAATTCCCACCATTCTAAGTGGAAGAAGGCACAAAAGTATTGGTATACTGCAAATATCTCATTCAATTTCTAAAGGCAGTAAGTGAGGGGAAACAGATTTCTCCCATTCAGTAAAGCATCTGCTTCACCAATGCCTTTCCAGGACCACCCCTTCTACAATATTGTACAGAAGGTAAAAGACAAGTTGCCGACGGGAATGTGAAACACATCTGAATTATAATGCAGCAACTGACTGGGTTTGGGCATTTCTACAACTTAGCTTCTTGGGTGGAGTTATTTTACCTCATCACCTCATACTGTCAGTCCTTTGGCCGGTGTTGGTCTGCGGTTATGACCTTCACATCACCCCTATCGTCATGTGATCACAATTTGGTGCTTAGCAATCAGATCACATTTATAATAGTTGCAGTGTCTTGCAGTCATGTGAACATAATTTGTAACCATTTGACTTCCAACAAGTAAAAATACTGTAAAATGCAGATTAGGAATACAAATCCAAATAAGCAAGAAAATGAGAAGAGAACACTTATCCGTTCTAGGTGAGTTCAAAACACCAGGACCAGATGTGTCCTGGTGTCCTGGTTTATACCAGATGTGATTTAGAAAAATTGAACCATATTTTTCAAGGATTCTAGAGCACTGGGAACTACCAGATGACTGGAAAAGGGCCGGTGTAGTTTCCATCTTAAAAAAAAAAGGGGAGGGGGAATGGATCTAGGAAACTACAGACCTATCAGCCTGACATTAATACCTGGGAAGATTCTGGAAAAGATAATCAAGCAACAAATCTGGGAACACCTAATGGCAAATAAAGTCATAACCAGAAGGCAACATGGGTTTGTCAAAAACAGATCATGTCAGACAAATCATATTGCAATCTTTGACAAGGTGACAAAATTAGCAGACCAGATAAATGCTGTGGATATAATTTACTTGGGCTTCAGTAAGGCATTTGATAAAGTAGACTACAACCTACTACTTGATAAGGTAGAAAAATGTGGGTTAGACAGCATGACCACCAGGTGGATTTGTAATTGACTGACCAACTGCACTAAATGTGTAGTTCCTAATGAAACTGCATCTGGTGACGGGAGCGATGTGGCGCTCCCATGTGACCCCCCTCCTGCGCGAGCTGCACTGGCTCCCAGTGGTCTTCCGAGTGCACTTCAAGGTTTTGGTTACCACCTTTAGAGCGCTCCATGGCTCAGGACCAGGGTACTTACGAGACCGCCTTCTGCCACCAGTAGCCTCTCACCGACCAGTTCGCTCCCATAGAGAGGGGCTCCTCAGGGTGCCGTCGGCCAAACAATGTCGACTGGCGGCCCCCAGGGAGAGAGCCTTCTCTGTGGGGGCACCTGCCATCTGGAACGAGCTCCCCCGGAGATACGGAGGATCCAAGACTTACGCATCTTCCGCCGCGCCCTAAAAACGTTTTTATTCCAACAGGCTGGTCTGGCCTAACTCTCCCTTCTAAATTGGCTTTTAAATTGGGTTTTAAATGTTTTTTAGATAAATTGGATGTTTTAATTTTTTGAGCCTAAATTATTTAATCTGTTTTTAATAGTTTTTAACTTTTGTATGTCTTTGTATTTTATTTTTGGCTGTTCACCGCCCTGAGTCCTTCGGGAGTAGGGCGGTATACAAATATGAAAAATAAATAAATAAATACATGGAGGGAAGTATGCACTGGGGTACCCCAAAGCTCTGTCTTAGGTCCAGTACTCTTCAATATCTTCATCAATGATTTTAACAAGAGGATAGAAGGGGAACTTGTCAAATTTGCAGACGACACCAAGCTGGCAGTAATAGCCAACACTCTAGAAGATAGGCTCAAGATACAGAAGGATCTTGACAGATTTGACTGGACCTAATGAAATGAAATTCAATGGTGAGAAAAGTAAGGGTCTACTTTTAGGCAAGAAAAACCAAATGCACAGGTATAGAATAGGTGGTACCTGGCTCAATAATAGTAACTGCGATTTAAAAGGACAATCACTTAAATATTAGACAGCAGTGTGCTGCAGCTGTCAAAAAAGTCAACACAGCCCTAGGCTGCATTAACCAAGGGATATAATCAAGATCATATGAAATATTAGTACCATTTTTATATGTCCTCGTAAGACCACACTTACACATTTGAATATTTCATTCACTTTTGGTAGCCACAATATAAAGAAGATATTGAGACTTTAGAAGGAGTGCAGAGATGAATTACAAAGATGCTTAGGAGACTGAAGGCTAAAATATATGAAGAATGGTTGCAGGAATTGGATATGTCTAGTTTAATGAAAAGAAGGACTAGGGATGACATGATAGCAGTGTTCCAATATCTAAGGACTGGACTGCCACAAAAAAGAGGGGCACTTCTAAAGCACCTTAAGGCAGAACAAGAAGTAATGGATGGAAACTAATCAAGGAGAGAAGCAACCTAGAACTAACAAGAAATTTCTTGACAGTTAGAACAATTAATCAATGGAAAGATTTGCCTCCAGAAGTTGTGGATGCTCAACACTGGAGGTTTTTAAGAAGAAATTGGGCAACCGTTTGTCTGAAATAGTATAGTTTCCTGTTGAGCAGGAGGTTGGACTAGAAGAGGGGTGTCAACATGCGGCTCACAGGCTGGATATGACCTGTGCAGACCACACCCAGCCCAGCTCCACAACGGCAAAACCAATCCTGATACGGCCTGTGATGCGATCGGGTTTGACACCCCTGGACTAGAAGATCTCCAAGATCCTTTTCAACTCTGTTTTTCTGTTATTCTGTTAATCTAGGACCGTGATGGCGAACCTATGGCACGCGTGCCACAGGTGGCACGCGGAGCCATATTAGTGGGCACGCCAGCTCAGCTCTGGGGCGCATGCGCGTGCCGGCCAGCTGATTTTCGGGCCTTCTGGGCCCACCAGAAGTAGGGAAACAGGTTGTTTCCTGCCTCTGGAGGGCCTGAGGGGGGGAAGGCCCGTTTTTTTTTCTTACCTGGCATTTTTTCCTGTTCCCAGCCTCCAGAGACTCCTAGAGAGGCTCCTACAGACTCCTAGAGAGGTTCTGGAGGCTGGGGACAGGAAAAAACGTCACTTCCTGTCCCACCGGGAGTGGGGAAATGGGCCCTTTGAGCCTCCGTAGGGCCTCCAAGGGAGTGGGAAAGGCTGTTTTCGCCGTTCCCAGATACACAGAGAGGATCTGGAACCAGGTAAGAAAGAAAAACGGGCCATCATGTGCCAGGAGTGGGGGGGTAGGGGTAGGGGGTTGCGCACACATGCGTGTGGGCACGTGCGCGTGCGACCCTCCCC